GCCTTGGGATGTGCACAAATTAGGAGGTTAAAGGGGAAAGAGAGGATGTGGCCTGAGAAAGGAAGAGAACCGAACAGTGTCATTTAAAGAAAAATTTGGGAGAAGAGTTCAAGCACAGAGGAAGTCAGCAAACCCAGATGCTGCAAAGGAGAAAGAGGAATGAGACAAAATCTTTGGGTTTGACACTTAGAAGTCATTGTCAACTTTTAAAACCTTCTATAAGAGCAACTGGATAATGTGTGTCAAGAGTCAGGAAAAAAAAGTATACTCTTTGCTCTAATAATTCTACTTTTAGGAATCTTGCCAAAACAAATAATCCTAAACTTGGAAAAGTTACCTGCATAAAGATGTCTGTTTACAGAGTTACTTAGAAGGGAGGAGAATGGAAATAGCCTAAATGACCAACAAATAAAGTGCTGAACTAAACTAAGGTATATAATAATAATTTTAATTTTTTAAAATAATAATCATTTTTAAAGTATAAAGTCAACTTTTAAATATTATTTATAACTAAAAAAGAGTAAGATTCCCTTAAAGAAATGACTGATTACAGATTTTCAGCAGGGGAAGTACAAGTTGAGTCTGGAATATCTTGTGTAAGAAAGCAAGTAAGTGCTTAAAGATTGATAGGACCAAATCAAAAGGACACAGAAGCCTTCTGAAAGGACTCCTATTGGACAAATTTGGGGCAATTTGACCATCAAAAAGAATATTGGTAGCAATAGATTATATCACATAGAATTAAAGAATTTTTGAGATCATGGGGAGAGAAAGAAAAAGAAGAAAGAGGAAGAATTCTTTACAGAAGAATGCCAGATAATAAACACAGAAGTAACGACAGAAGTAGAGAGTCACCATTTTGCAATCGCAGTGTAATAACAAATGCAAGCAGGGAAGCCAAAACCACTTGGTAAAACCTTGTTGGGAGCAAATAGTGAAAAGGTCTTAGGAAAGCACAACAGAACTTACTTTAACTTGTTGTGTGGAGAGAGCTGATGAATTCTAACTTAACCAAGTGAGCAAGCCTAGCACCACCAATAAAGAGACAAATATGCACTACTGGCCTCCCAGTGTGACACAACACCCCCTACATGGTCGTCTTTTCAAAACTGAAAAGTCTTTTCAAATATGTTTAACCTGAATCTAGTCATGAGGAAACTATGGAAGGATCCAGAATGTGGGACATTCTATATGACAGCTGCTTTGGACGCTTCAAAACAATGCTATGAAAAAACAAACTAGCAGCAATAAAATGGGGAACTGTTTAAGATTAAAGAGACTAAAGAAACTTAAACAAATGCAATGGAGGAATCTTGATGAAGTCAAATCTATGTAAGTATATATAAATACTAAAGGCCCAGTGCACGAAATTTGTGCCCTTGGCGGGGAGGGGGTCCCTCAGCCCAGATTGTGAGAGGGCACAGGCCCACCAGTGCACAATCGGGGCTGGGGAGGGACGCAAGAGGACTCCAGGGCATGTCTGGCTCATCTCGCTCAGTCCTGATCGGCCAGACCCCAGCAGCAAGCTCACCTACCAGTTGGAGCGTTTGCCCCCTGATGGTCAGTGCAAGTCATAGTGAGCGGTTGAGTGGCCTTAGCATATCATTAGCATACTAGAGACCCAGTGCACAAAAATTTGTGCACTCGGGCGGGGGCGGGGGGGCTCCCTCAGCCTGGCCTGTGCCCTCTCGCAGTCTGGGACCCCTCGGGGGATGTCCACCTGCTGGCTTAGGCCCGCTCCCCGGGGGGATTGGGCCTAAGCTGGCAGTCAGACATCCCTCTGGCAGCCTGGGAGCCCTCAGGGGATGTCCACTTGCCAGCGGGGAGCAGGCCTAAGCTGCAGTCGGACATCCTTAGCACTGCTGAGGAGGCAGGAGAGGCTCCCGCCACCACCACTGCTGTACTGGCAGCTGTCAGCCTGGCTTGTGGCTGAGCAGAGCTCCCCCTATGGGAGCACACTGACCACCAGGGGTCAGCTCCTGCATTGAGCATCTGGCCCCTGGTGGTCAGGGTGTGTCATAGTGACCAGTCATTCCCAGTCGTTCTGCTGTTAGGGTCAATTTGCATATTACCTTTTATTATATAGGATTATGCTTTGATGGGTTGGATGACTGGATGACCAGACACTTAGCATATTAGGCTTTTATTATATAGGATATGAAAAAATATATATGATTTTGCAGAGAAAAATAGAAAAAATTCAGTATAGACTGAATTTTATCTATTTGTCTATCACAATAGACAATACTATTGTGATAATGTTCTTATGGCCCTATAGAAGAATTCGTTATTCTTAGGAAATTGCTGCTGAAGTATTTAGAGCTGAAGAGCCATGATATTTGCAATGTGCAATCAAATGGTTAAGAAAAAAAGGGAGGGATAGAGAAAATATGGCAAAATGTTCAAAAAGAGTGAATCTAGGAGGTGAAAGGTATACAGATTTCCACTGTACTTTCTTTGAGCTTCTCTGTAGGTTTGTAATTTTTAAAAAAAGGAGTTGGAAGAAAATAAGACATAACAAAAATGGGGAAATTATGCAATGCTAAGTATAGCTCTACAAAATAAGAACAAGAGAAATGTTCTTTATTCATTTCAGCAGGCTCCTGCCACACAACAGGCTCTGTACTAAGCGGTGGGAACACCCTGTTCCCCTTCAGAAGCCTGGTTTTATGGTGTCATGCTTAACGTGCTTAACATTCAAGACTTTGGATCTGGCCAATGCCACCCAAGTCTCAGAGGACGCTTGCTGTGACAGCTTCACCTCTGCTATCCTGGGTTCCTAGCAAGATGCCTGGCCCCATGACACATTCAGTAATGCCTGCTGCCAGGAGTCCACACTTTGGTGGGGAAGGAAATTGCATTAACAGATCATTTAAAATAAGATTAAGAACATGGTGCAGCCCTAGCCAGTTTGGCTCAGTGAGTAGAGCATTGGCCTGTGGACTGAAGGGTCCCAGGTTCGATTTCTGGTCTGGGCACATGCCTAGGTTGTGGGTTTGATCCCCAGTGTGAGGCGTGCATGAAGCAGCCAATCAATGATTCTCTCTCACCATTGATGTTTCTAGCTCTCTCTTCCTGTCCCTTCCTCTCTGAAATCAATAAAAATATATTTTTTAAAAATGCTAATTGTTTACTTTAAAAAAAAGAACATGGTGCACACAAGGTATTACAGCATTTTAATTATCATTTAAACTCTTACCTTTATGATATCCTCCCCCTCCTCATCTAACTTTATTTCCTACTCTTCCCTACTATGAATCCTCCCCTTCTTTATGGCATTCTGGTTCCTACCTCGATGCCTTTGCTCAGCTCATGCTGACCTCCTAGCTTGGCATGAATGAACTTTCACTCCTTTGCTCCAAAGCCTACCCAGCTCAGGTCTGTTTTTACAAGGTGCACATGTCATTTTCCCAATTGTAGTTCATGAAGCCAGACAGGGTATCAGATATTTCAGTATTTCTTACAGCCCAGCTAATAGAAGTGTGGCGGGAGGACCAGCAGCATCTGTATCAGCTGGGAGTCTATTAGAGCTACAGTCTGGAGTCCTACCCAGCCACAACCTCAGAATCAGACACTGCAGTTGAACAGGTTCCCGGGGAGATTCGTGGTCACATTCAAGTGTGAGAAGCACGGTCCTGTAACAGTAACTAGAGTATGAGTAAAGCAGAAGCTCAAATATTTTGAGAGCTGAGGCCCTCCCTGGGGATCCTAGGGGATTCTCAGGTTTGCCATCCAGCTTTGAGCCCCCTTCCTGGGCTCTTTGCTCCCTCAGAAGGCAGATAAGAACCTAAGAGCGAGGGAGGCGCTGAGGCCGTGTCCATGGGGTGATGGTGAGGTGAAGCTGCTACCTTCTCAGCAGAGCCGAAAGCAAATGTTGATGTCTGCTTCGCGGGCACTTTTCCGGGGAGAAACTGGCTTTACTTCTAAGACAAAAACGCCTATCGCTTCAGCATCCCAGCCTCAGGGTAAGAGGTATGTGATAGACAACATTGGAACGGTTTCTAGACTTGATTTATTGACTTGTCTGTTTCTCGTCTGTCACTAATCTGATTGACAACGAAACCCGGGATGTGACTTAAGGTGATTCCTGCGGGAGCGCGCGCTCGGTGGACCAGCTGGAGGCGGGTGCTCGGGAGGACGAAAGGCATGTCTGCGGGGGCTGTTGGCGTGTGCGGAGGGCGTGTGTGGAAACGACACGGGAGGAGTGGGCGCTCTGGGAAGCTGATTGTCTGTGATGGGAGCTGTGTCTGCCGGGCTGGGAAGCAATGCGGGCTGGAGTCTGTACCAGGCGAGCAGCTGGGCGGGAGGAGGCAGGTGGGGCTCCCACAAGGGAGGGTGCAGTTACAGACACATCTTAGGCACACCCCCTTTCTCGCCGTCCCCAGCTTCCCCTCCTCGGGTCTGATTTCCCAATTGGGGGGCCTTGGGGGAGGGGAGGGAGAGGGTCGGAAGGTGCCCGAGGGCTCTTCGCTGGCAGCAGCGGAGGGAGAGCTGGTGGGACAGGTGCGCCCCCACAGGGCCAGCGGGGCCGCACGTGGAGGGCTCGTCCTCCGTCCGGGACTCGGCTCCTTTGCCCCGGGACGCCCGCTTCAGTTCCCCGGGAGTCCTCTTTCGCGGGGGGGCCCG